TAGTAAGCTTGGCATCCTCAAAGAACGGGTTGGAATTGAAGTGCTGCGATTGATGCCCCCAATTTAACAAGTAAATTAACAATACTCAGTAATCTTCTTAGATCAATAGGAGAAGACAATAACAATGGATAGTGAAATGAGCTGGATAAAGAAACATACAAAAGTTATAGAGTATCCAGATTTCACATCTTTGGCATCCTCCACTTCCAGAGAGTTCAAGTACTTAAAAATCTGTAAAAACAGGGAAATCAAACGAAGAGGTATAAAGGAATGTAACTGTACAGAAAAGATGAAAGGCCAATCGGATAGTTATCAGCATTATAAACTGTAGAGCATGCCGAATGATAACTCAAACCTTTTGGTCTTCTTCGGTCAAGAGATCACCTAATGCAGGATGACTCAAAAACTGCAAAGAATGTGTAAAGGTCATTGGTCAATAAGTCGAAGATATTTTTAAACAGTAATTGAAAAACAACCTAGAAACTATTACTTACAGCAGTCATCCAAAAGTCTGGAATCGATTGGATAACTTCGTTGCGCTTGTCATAGACAGGTTTCCGTATCACGTTATATTTCTGCTCCACTTCCAAGACCTCATCACTGGCCTTTTCATTAATCTACAACCAACAAATCAGAGTTAGGAGAAAGAAGAAAGAAAAAAACACTCATTAAAGTTCATGTCAATTCTAACTGTACTTATGACTTGATGATATTTTGAGCTTTAACTTCTCAAATAGTACTCTTTCCACTAACTTCTCTACAGATATTGCAGAAGCTAATTACAGAGACCAGTCACATGAATTAAAACGTTCTCAAAATTGCATTGTACGAATACACAATTATCACACTACTGTAGCAACAAGAGAAAAAAGGCGATCTTTCATGCATCCTTCCTTCAAATCCAGATACATACAAACATTCAAGTAAAATAGAATTTAAAATTGGAGAATCTATACAAGTTAACCAAGATACAGAGCACATGAACACCGGTTAAGAAAAAGGGGAAAATCTGGAGAGTTAGAGCAAATTAACGAAGAAGTGAAAGAAGAGATTTTTAACCTTCTCGAGGTCATCTTGAATCTCCTGAAGCTTCTCAATTGAGAGAACAAGCTTTTCATCGATTTGCTCCAAGTTTTCTTCTTCGACTTTCTCTTCAATTTTCGACTTCTTGCTCTTATCCGCAACCATTTTCACTTCACTCCCTTTGAGGAAACCCTAATTCCAAAGAAAGAGAGGATTTTGGCTCCTCTGCTAGGTTTCTTCTCCTCTTGTGATTCCGTCGCAAGAGAATCGAATCAGCTAAAACCCTAGTTCCTGATGAGAGTTTATGCTGGTGAAGTGTGAGTGTGGGCAAAGGGGGACTTAGGGTTTTGAGGGGTTTATGTGGACCAATCAGATTGTGCCAGCGTATGACAAGAAGGGTATATTAGTCAATTTAGTAACCACATTAGGGTAGTTTAGAACTTTCTCTACACTTGCTTTTTTTAAGTTATCCTATTAAAATAGTTGATTTAATAAAAGCGGATTAAGTCATTTAATTTTTCCCTTTTTATCTCGTATGATTTACTTCAGGACCACTAAAACATTATTGCTCTAAAATATTATAACTTGAGAAAAATCTCCACTTTAACATATAAAAATTTAAGAAAAAATGAAATGTTGACAGTGGGATTTGAACCCACGCCCTTTCGGACCAGAACCTTAATCTGGCGCCTTAGACCAACTCGGCCATATCAACTTTGTTGTTCTTTTCTTTAATTAACAATTATTTATTTATTTAGAAATCTTCCCACGCGCTTCTTCGCCGAGTCCGATTTACTACTCCCGTCTCCCGGCGTTGTAGCCGTTGAAGCCCGCCGGTGATTGTAATTGATTTCTCCAGTGGTTTTCTGAGTCTCCTCAGGACCTCAGTGATAAAAAAAAAATCTAACTTTTTCAATTTTGTTCTTTCTCCTCAGATTTTTCTAGGGTTATTTGCTATGTCTCTCGTATCTGGATTTTAGGGATTCAAAGTATCTTTTTTAGGTTACGATTATTCTCCTTAATGGGTCCTCCTCTGCTTCCAAAACATGTAACTACAGTTATAAGATGTCAGAAGGATCCTATGAAAGCTCTAGAAATGTTCAATTCGATGAGAAAAGAGGATGGTTTCAAGCATACTTTATCTACTTACCGCAGTATCATCGAAAAGCTTGGCCTTTATGGAAAATTCGAAGCCATGGAAGAGGTTTTAGTGGATATGCGTCAGAATGTTGGTAACCATATGCTTGAAGGGGTTTATGTTGGGGCGATGAAGAATTATGGTAGGAAAGGGAAAGTTCAAGAAGCTGTTAATGTGTTTGAAAGGATGGATTTTTATGATTGTGAGCCTACGGTTTTCTCTTATAATGCTATTATGAGTATATTGGTTGATAGTGGTTACTTTGATCAAGCTCACAAGGTGTATATGAGGATGCGTGATAGAGGAATTACGCCTGATGTTTACTCGTTTACGATTAGGATGAAGTCTTTTTGCAGGACTAGTCGGCCTCACGCTGCTTTGAGGCTTCTTAATAATATGTCTTCTCAAGGCTGTGAGATGAATGTGGTTGCTTATTGTACTGTGGTTGGTGGGTTTTATGAGGAGAATTTTAAGGATGAGGGATATGAGTTGTTTGGGAAGATGCTTGCATCGGGTGTTTCGCTTTGCCTTAGTACGTTTAACAAGCTTCTACATGTTCTTTGCAAGAAAGGAGATGTTAAGGAGTGTGAAAAACTACTGGATAAAGTTATCAAAAGAGGCGTTTTACCGAATCTGTTTACTTATAATTTTTTCATTCAAGGGCTTTGTCAGAAAGGTGAGCTTGATGCTGCTGTTCGTATGGTAGGTCGTCTCATAGATCAGGGGCCAAAACCAGATGTGGTCACGTATAACTATCTAATATATGGCTTATGTAAAAATTCCAAGTTTCAGGAGGCAGAGGTTTACTTAGGCAAACTGGTGAATGAAGGACTTGAGCCTGATAGTTTTACCTATAACACACTAATAGCTGGATATTGCAAAGGTGGAATGGTGCAACTTGCAGAACGGATTCTAGTTAATGCTGTTTTCAATGGGTTTGTCCCCGACGAGTTTACATATCGCTCCTTAATTGACGGATTGTGTCACGAAGGTGAAACAAACCGTGCTTTAGCTTTATTTAATGAGGCCTTAGGGAAAGGAATAAAGCCTAACGTGATTCTTTACAACACACTGATCAAGGGATTGTCTAACCAGGGTTTGATTCTGGAGGCTGCTCAGTTGGCGAGTGAAATGTCTGAAAAGGGTTTGATTCCTGAGGTACAGACTTTTAACATACTCGTAAATGGATTATGCAAGATGGGATGTGTTTCTGATGCTGATGGTCTTGTTAAAGTCATGATCTCCAAAGGGTACTTTCCTGACATATTTACTTTCAACATTTTGATTCATGGTTATTCTACACAGTTGAAAATGGAAAACGCACTTGAGATCTTAGATGTTATGATGGACAACGGTGTTGATCCTGACGTGTACACTTACAACTCTTTGTTGAATGGTCTCTGCAAAACTTCAAAGTATGAAGATGTGATGGAAACATATAAAACTATGGTGGAGAAAGGTTGTGCCCCTAACTTATTCACGTTTAATATACTTCTGGAGAGTCTATGTAGATACCACAAACTAGATAAAGCCTTGGGGTTATTGGAGGAAATGAAAAACAAGAGTGTGAATCCAGATGCGGTTACGTTTGGAACGTTGATTGACGGGTTCTGCAAAAACGGAGACTTGGATGGAGCATACACGCTATTCCGGAAAATGGAAGAGGTTTATATGGTTTCATGTTCAACGCCAACATATAATATCATCATTCATGCATTCACTGAGAAGCTAAATGTTACTATGGCCGAAAAGCTTTTCCAAGAGATGGTTGATCGTTGTCTTGGTCCTGATGGATACACATACCGGCTTATGGTTGATGGTTTTTGCAAAACGGGAAATGTCGATTTGGGGTACAAGTTTCTACTGGAGATGATGGAAAATGGGTTTATTCCATCGCTCACAACGCTTGGACGTGTAATAAACTGTCTTTGTGTGGAGGATAGAGTTTATGAGGCTGCCGGTATTATCCATCGGATGGTCCAGAAAGGACTGGTCCCTGAGGCTGTGAACACCATTTTTGATCATGACAAAAAGGAGGTGGCTGCTCCTAAACTTGTCTTGGAGGATCTGTTGAAGAAGAGCTGTATTACATATTATGCTTACGAACTTCTTTTTGATGGCCTTAGAGATAAAAGGCTACGCAAGAAAAAGGGTTTCACAGTGGTAGCCATATGAATCTGCTGCAGTGGACTTCACATTTGGTTGCTTAAAGAACTGATTGAGTTTGTTTGATATGAGGACTTGCTGAGCCAGACCTTCCATTCCTAGAGAAGATAGTAACTCAACCATTGCTCTGAGCCCCATGGATTGAACTTAGATGTAAATTGCGGGGGACAAGTCTATGGCCAGTGAAATTTCATCCAAGACACAAAAAGGTTGGAGTTGCTCTGATCTTTAACCATGATCCACTGAACCTTCTCCGGAACTATAGTCCATAACATCTCCTGAAAAGTTCGAGAAAGAAGTTTCGCTGGTTTGATCCCGTTTCCTCTTTCCCTTCTTGGTAATGCTTCATGATAGAGTTAAATGTTAATTACATCAAACATAGGCAAGGGTCATGCTGCATATGCTCGATCTAAGTCTTTCTCAACTTCACATTCAATGAGAATTTTCGGCAGCAGTGCGGAAAGAAGCCTTACTCAAGAAACACCTGACCACTGTGGCTGCACAAGGTACGTGGAGCTTTCTGAACATTTTCGCATTTTTGTTATATGTGGTTGGTTGGTTACAGTCTCTGAGAAGTATATAGATCTTAGGATGATCGAGTCACTTTTTTATTAGAAATGTTTATTATTGCAAGTTCTTATATTTTTTCTGACAAAAGTATGACAACAAAGCGTATCAACTAATGTATAGAGCATGGAGATATCACAAATGTTTTTCTATAGTTCATTATCATACAGTAATAGCTACGATAAGTTCATAAACAACTCTCAGGGAATTATTTCTTACTTCAAGCAGTAATCTAGATGATTCATCTAGATTGCTGTTATCCTTTGAGACAATATTAAATCCAGATGATTCATCACTAGACCAACATCTTGATCTAATTACGCATTTGCAGCCTGCTGGAGACACTTTTGTCTATAGTTCTGGATTAAGTTCACCAACTTATCATGAGGCACTTCTACTTCTTTAACCACACTCAGATCTTGCAGGCGCTCTATCCAGTTGTATAAAGTCGGAGTGTTCACTGGACTGATTATCTCTACACCGATTTCTTCACGATGAGCTTTGTGGACTCCGAAAGTAGCAATGATGATGATTTCCAAAAGCCCTACATCATCATTCTCTCTGATGTTTTTATTCGGGAAATGCTTCTCGAGTCCCTCATCAAGAACTTTGATTCTCTTTCGAGCCTCTTCTACAGATTTTGCTTGAGCTTCACCCTCTTGGAACATGATTTGACCCGTGACCTCAAACACCTGCAACAAGAAATAGTCAATAATCTGCTAGTCATGTCTATGTATGGGGTTGATTTCGGATGAGATATTTGGGGATAAAACCTGTTGGTTGATGTAGCTGACCCAGAACCGGACCTGAGCCCTTTCATAAGGATCCTCTGGGAAGAAACGAGGAGAGTTCATCCACGTCTCATCGATATATTCAAGAATCACAAGTGATTCAGCCACTGGTTTCCCATCATGGACAAGAACAGGAATCTTCTTGTGCACCGGGTTTAGTTGAATCAGCGATTCACTTTTGTTCTGAAGATCTTCTTCGACGTACTCATATAGTATGCCCTTGAGTTTAAGGGCGATTTCGACCCTCTTTGAGTATGGGCTTATCCACGTCCCATGTAATGTAACTTTGCTCTTCTTCTCCTCCATCTCTCAAAACTCTCTTGTTTTATTTCTTACACTTTTTTCTTAAAATCTTTTTGGGGATTATGATTTTTGTGCTTCATTGTTCAAATTCTTTTATAGAGACAAGAGAGTTTACTTTGGATCTTGTTCATCAAGCATATTCATTTGCCAAGGGCATTGTCTTATTATTCGTTCAAAGTCAAAACTTTGAATTTTCAAAGTATGAAGGATTTGTTTATTTCATGATCAAGATTTGATGGAACAGAGATAAATATTGAATTATCTTTGACTGTATTGCTGCCCAAGAAAATGGAAATCAGCAGCTACTTTCCGACCAACTATTTTCTCTGAACGATCTAAAGAAATATCTACTATTAGAAAAAAAAAAAAAAAAAAAAACAGATTGTTCTGGTAACCGTCTCCTACAGTGAAAGCAATCTCAACTTCAATCTCCAATTATTTTCAACTGTTCCTTCATCATTAACTTGGGGCAGGATTATCCTTAAACATGAACCTCACGGCTTCTCACAATAAATAACATCAGACAGAACTCCACCCTGGTTCTTTCTGTACACCTGTTCCTTTCATCAGCTTTCGAGTTTCCTCCACTTCGTCCCACTCACCAACCTCTGCAAGAATGTTCGACAGTGAAACATATGCTCCAGCATCTGATGGCTCTAATTCTATAGCCTTTTTGGCTGCTAGCTTCCCGAGTTCAACATCCCCGTAAATTTTGCAAGCAGCAAGCAATGTTCCCCAGACCAAGGCGTCCGGTTTAATAGGCCTAGTGTTGATAAAATTCTCAGCTTCTCTAAGTCTTCCTGACCTCCCTAGAGCATCAACCATGCAGACATAATGTCGGTTCTCAGGTTCTATTCCATAGTCTTTTACCATCGAGTTGAGATGGAAATAGCCTTCTTCAACCAAACCACCATGACTACAAGCAGACAAGACTCCCACAAAAGTCACTTTATCAGGCTTGAATCCTTTTTCCTTCATAAGGCAGTACACTTGTAACGCTTCGTTGGCCTTTCCATGTTGAGCATAACTTGCAATCAGTGCAGTCCATGCGATTAAATCTGGGCCATTGATCTGGCTAAATGCTTTACAGCAGTCTTCAATGCTTCCAAATTTGGAATACATTGTCAGTAATGAACTTCCTACAGAAGGCTCTGTGCATAATCCGATTTTTGTGATGTAGGCATGAACTTGAGCTCCCAGCTCTGATTCTTCAGAGAGAACAGCAGCTTTAAGAATGGATGAAATTGCATAGGAGTCCATGGAAAAGCCAGACATGACCATATCGCGAAATAAGAGGAAGCCATCCTGGACTAACCCGTGTTGTGAATATCCTGAAATTAAAGATGAACATGAAACTGGATCCATTTCAGGGAGCCTATCATAGACCTTTCTAGCCAACTTTAGTGACCCACACTTTGAATATGTGTTTACTAGTGCAGAACCGAGAGGCATTCCCCTGTCAATTCCAGCTCTTAGTGTGTACCCATGTATTTCTTTACTTCTTGGTAGAGAAGGGAGAGAAGAACACACAGTTAGAACAGCAGCTAGAGTACTCTCATCAGGGCTAGTCCCTTCATCGAGCATCTCGCTGAATAGTCCAATAGCTTCTCTTAGATAACCGTACTCATTGAAGCCAGAAATCATGGAAGCCCAGCAAGCATTGTCTTTAAAAGGTATCTCCTGGAATAAGCTATATGATTCTTCCAAACTACCACATTTGGAGTACATTGTGAAAAGAGAACTTCCAACAGTGAGATCTAGGATCAACCCACTTTTAAGGGTGTAACTGTGAACCTGCTTACCTAAATTCAAACAATCTAATACACTTAACAAACTGCATACACTAAACTCATCAGGATTCAAACCCTCCTGAAGCATTCTAGTAAACAGTCTTATAGCTTTACCAGGCTTCTTATTTTGCGAAAACGATGTGACCATTACATTTACTATATTTTGCCTCCGAATATCGTCCAGATCCTCAAAAACCCGTTCGGAGAGATTAATATCTCCACTCTTTGAGTTCATACTAATCAAGGCGGCAGCCACTGAGGTATCAAGATAGAAACCACTTTTAAAGACCCAAGCATGGACCTGGCTTGCTTCACAGACCATAGAAGGTCTACCACAAGCAGAAATCACACTAGTTACGGTACAGCTGTTGATCTCAACACCTGAGTGTCTCATTTCCCTGAATATTTCAAGAGCAGAGAAAGCATCGTTACTCTTTGTGTAACCAGACAGCATTACTGTCCAAGAGACAACGCTAGGGTTGGAAATACGGGAGAATACTTCCCTAGCTTCAGCCATATGACCACATTTGGCATATAAATCAACAATTGAAGTACAAACAAAGACATCTTCCGCTCCGCATTTGATCACCCGAGCTTGAACAACTTTTCCAAACCTAAGCTCTTCAAGAGATGCACAAGCAGCCAAAACACTGGAATATGTATAACTATCAGGTTTCTGAAACCCATTACACATTTCATGGAAAAGATCAAAAACAGCACCATAATTTTGATTTCTTAGTGCCCCTGCTATGATAGTGTTCCAACAATACACATTAGCAGATAAAGTGTCACGGAACACCTTATAAGCATCCTCAAATCTTAGATTCTTAGAGAATGCGTCTATCAAAGACGATTGAACAACTTCATAAAAGAAATAACCCATCTTTATAGTCTGACAACACACCAGCTCACTGAACAGAGGAGCTTGTAGAGCACTGCAAGCCGAAATCACAGACCCATAACTTATCTCATTAGCGTCAAACCCCAAGAAATGCATCTTAGAAAAAAACCTCAATGATTCTTCAAACAATCGATGTTGTTTATAACCAGAGATCATAATGTTACAAGAAACAACATCTGGTTGAGGAATTGTATCGAACAACTTAGCTGCATCAGCCATGGAACCCGAGTTTGAGTACCAGCTGAGCAATGATTTAGCAAGGAAAACATCAAATGGCAGAAGATATCTTCTAAGCAAATGGGCTTGTAGAATTCTGGTTGTTCTGAGTGTACAAAGCCTTGAATTTGATTGATCATTGAAGAATTGAAAAGGGTTAAAAGGAGCTGAAGAAGAACTAGAATCTTTGCTGGGAATTCGGAAATTGGTAACGGAAGAGAGTAGTCTGGAGGTAGAAAAAGGAGAGATCTTTAAGGAGTTTAAGCTCTCGTTCGCTAGACAATTCATTATCAGTCCATGAGCTCGCTCTAAGGTGAAAAAAAGAGGAAGCAAAATCAACATGGAGTATGAAACTTTCAAATATAGAGATATAAATATATCATATATAATTAGTATTGTTTTAGTCAACATGAAGTCAAGATGGCCGAGTTGGTCTAAGGCGCCAGTTTAAGGTACTGGTCCGAAAGGGCGTGGGTTCAAATCCCACTCTTGACATTTCTTTTCTTTTTATCTTATGTTTTTTTTTTTAATTAACAAAGCAGTAATAGTTCATTAAACTTAAAATAAATACAATCTTATATCCAAACCAATCTTAGTAGGAGAACTTTTGCAGGGATTCGTTCTAAAGATGATGCTAGTTTGAGATGCTTGCTGTGGGCTTTTGAAAGTATGGCTAGTTATAAGATTGACAACATTATCTTTGCTGTCCAAAATAAAGCTTTGGTTGGTTTTGTTTCCCGTCCCTTGGCATGGCCATCCTTTAAAGCCCAATTTTTGGCTTTAGTTAACTCTCTTAGACCCTTTTTGTCATGGAAGTTGGAGCAGGAATTCGAATCTGCAAACAGAAGTGCAATTCTTATTGCTCAAAGTGTGACTGGTGACCTTCGCTGTCAATCATATGTGGCAGTGGGAGTCCCCCCATGGCTTTGTTCTGTCTTTAGGGAAGAGTCTGGATTGCACTCTGTCTTTAGGGGTGTGATGCTCTTGTTGGAGATCATTCTTTTTTGAATTTTTGGTTCTTGGTAAGTAGCTCCTGAGTGGTTGAGCTCCTTTTTGTATAAACCCTTTCTTCCTTGTGAGAAAGTGGTGCTAGTGTAGGCTAATTGTCTCTAGAGTTTGTTGTTCCTGTTAGTTATTATAACTCTTTGGTACCACTTTGTGGTCATATCTAACATAATCACAGATGACAAAAAAAAAAAATATATCCAAACCAATTGTATTTGGGTATCGAATTTCGAACTTTGTGTTTTACACATATTTTTCAACTAGATTTTAACCCGCGGTACACCGCGGGGCTATATTTTCTTAAAAAAATCAAAATGTAATTTGTTTGATAGATTATTTTGATTGTTAATTTTAGGATTTCACCCGTGGTATACGATCTTTTATAAATATCAACCCAAACCCGTCCCATCATATTACCCGTCCCGTGAAATTAAACATTATTTAGTTATTTTTCTTTTTAATAATACTTTTATTTAAAAGCTATATAATTCAAGTCAATTTAAAAATTTCTTTTAAATGGTTCCCATAAGATATATATACATATATATTAAATTTGTATAGAGTTGAAATAATATTAATATTACAAATTTTTTATATAATTTAAATATTATAAATATTTTTAAAAATATGTAATATATATTTTTTGTTATTGAATAAGAGGATATTATGTGTAAGAAATGTAGAAAATAAGAGTTTAATATTTTTATTATGGAGTCGCAAAAAAATCTTTTATTTCTATACATGTTATTCATTTATTAATAATAAAAGAAAACAAATCCTTTAAATTAGATATTAACTAAAATAAACGCACCATAATTACTTATTAAGTAACAACCAATAAATTTCACCAAAAAATAGGTAACAACCAATAAATTCTAAACGCAGTAATTAAAGAATGAGATATTAAAAAAAATATATCAAATAAGATATAAGAATCTTAAAATAATTGAACATCTAAATAATTTAATTGTTAGTGTCGATTTTAATGCCTTCATTAATGTGGATTTTTTTTTTACAGATAAATATTTCTTAAAGATTATCACATTAATGACTCAGAAAATTAAGGAAGATATGAATTTATGATTCTCGAAATCGTATTGGTAATATCTTTAAGTAATATTTTTCAAATTTAAATAATTAATGCCAATGGCATTCATCCGTAAATAAGGTCCAACTCCAGGATTTATTTGCTAAAAGTCATTCAAAAATGTATATATAGATATTACATTCAAAAACAATGTTTCCTTTTTTGAATAACTAAAGAGAAATTGTTAAAAATGCCCCTTTTTCAATACCCCTTTTCAAAAATGCCCCCTTTGAGAGTCCATTTTTAAGTTTGCCCTCTTTTAATTTTTAATGACCATTTTACCCTTATTTGAAACAAAATTAGGTCCACAAAATACAAAATATTTTTTGGCGGGAAAAGTGATCTCGCAATTTTCCCGCCAAAACACTTGTAAAAACCTTTAAAAAACCTTGTAAAATTTTCCCGTAAAAATTTTTCCCGCCAAAAAATTTTCCCGCCAAAAAAATTTTTTTGCGGGAAAAGTGATTCCGCAATTTTTTTTGCGAAATTTTTTTGGCGGGAAAATTTTTGGCGGGAAAAATTTACAAGGTATTTTAAAGGTTTTTTACAAGGTATTTACAAGTGTTTTGTAAGGTTTTACAATGTATTTTAAAAAGTTTTACAAGGTACTTTAAGGTTTTATAAGGTATTTATAACTTGTAAAACCTTATAAAAAACTTGTAAAACCTTATAACTTGTAAAAACCTTATAAAATAGCTTGTAAAATCTTATAATATCTTATAAATACCTTGTAAATACGTTGTAAAACCTTTTAAAATACATTGTAAAACCTTATAAATACCTTGTAAAAAACCTTTAAAATACCTTGTAAATTTTTGGCGGGAAAAATTTTCCCGCCAAAAATTTAACGCCAAAAAAATTGCGGAATCACTTTTCCCGCAAAAAAAATTTTTTGGCGGGAAAATTTTTTGGCGGGAAAAAATTTTACGGGAAAATTTTACAAGGTATTTTAAAGGTTTTACAAATTTTTACAAGTGTTTTGGCGGGAAAAATTGGGGGATCACTTTTCCCGCCAAAAAATATTTTGTATTTTGTGGACCTAATTTTGTTATATTTCCTTATATATTTATGATATCTTTTATTAAAAGAAGGGTAATTTAGTCATTTTGTACATAAAAGGGGTATTTTTAAAAATGGACATCCAAAGGGGGCATTTTTGAAAAGGGGTATTGAAAAAGGGGCATTTTTGTGAGTCTCCCATAACTAAATTACAATCCAAATTCGAGCATGAAAAGGATATACTGTAACTTTAATAACTTTTGTCAGTATAAAACCATCATATCACATGCCTCGTCTCATGAACTCAAAACCTATCCCAAAAAAAAGAATAACTTATCGTTAGTCTCTCTATAATATATACCAACAAGAGAAATTAAAAGCCATGGTTTACACTGATTTTGAGCACAGTGTCTCTTTTCGCCGGGACTCAACCTCTCCGCTTACCGTCGAGCTAACGTGCACCAATGTTCTCCGCAGAAGAATTCATCTCTTCACCGACGAAACAAAGACATTCTCTCTACCCGCCGAACAAACCATCGACCATCACACCAGCTTTATTCCCCTGAACGAACTCACTTCCTCTCCAGACACTCAACACAACGTCGTTTACGACATCGTTCGTAGTCCCGACGAAACCACCGTTATCTCCAGACAAAGCAAGATTACAAATAATTACTCGCTAGGAAACGGCTGCTCCACTATCTTGCGCGAGATCGACATGGCTATTACATCATCATCATCGAGAGGCAGAGGAGTAGTTGAATCCAAGAAATGTAAGATCAAGACTGAGATTTACAAAGCCAACAAAGCTGCGGAGAAGTTGTTGATCGATAGCTACGGACCTACGGTTATAACTCAAACGAATCAACGACGGAGGAGAATGAATGCGTTATTTGCATGGAAGATTACACGGAAGGATCAATAGTGACTAAAAATTGCCTTGCAATCCGAGTTTCAGTTCGGTTTGGATCGCCACTTTTGTATGAAATTTTGAATTGCTCATCGGATTTTTGATTTGTAAAATAACCAAAAATCAGAGTATTTTTTTTCTTTCAGGGTTTAAATTAGGGTTTATAGTTTATAGTTTATACATACAGTACTTCGGAAAATTTTATCAGGATTATGATAATTAAAAATTCCACCTTTTCTTTTTTTTTGGCTTGTGAGTTGTGACGATGTCTATCGCAATCAACCATTGTCTCTCTATCCTTAATAGCTGCAAGAACTTAAGAGCTCTAACCCAAATCCATGGCTTCTTTATCAAATCCGGCGTTGACACTGATTCTTACTTCATCGGAAAGCTTATCCTACATTGTGCGATTTCCATTTCCGACGCTTTACCTTACGCTCGCCGTCTCTTGCTCTGTTTTCCTGAACCTGATGCGTTTATGTTCAACACTCTCGTCCGAGGCTACTCTGAATCCGATGAGCCGCACAATTCCGTTGCCGTGTTTGTGGAAATGATGAGGAAAGGTTTCATTTTTCCTGATAGCTTCTCCTTCGCGTTTGTTGTCAAGGCGGCGGCGAATTTCCGGTCTTTAAGAACTGGATTTCAGATGCATTGTCAAGCTTTGAAACATGGGCTTGATTCACATTTGTTTGTTGCTACTACCTTGATCGGTATGTATGGGGAATGTGGCTGTGTTGGGTTTGCTCGCAAGGTGTTCGATGAAATGCCTCAACCGAATTTGGTTGCGTGGAATGCTGTGGTCACGGCCTGTTTCAGGGGGAATGATGTTTCGGGCGCGAGGGAAATCTTTGATAAGATGCTGGTAAGGAATCATACGTCGTGGAACGTGATGCTTGCAGGGTACATTAAAGCTGGGGAGCTTGAGTGTGCTAAACGGATCTTCTCGGAAATGCCTCACAGAGATGATGTCTCCTGGAGCACTATGATTGTTGGGTTTTCTCATAATGGAAGTTTCAATGAGTCTTTCTCGTATTTCAGGGAGTTACTAAGAGCGGAAATGAGACCAAACGAGGTGAGTCTCACCGGAGTTCTCTCTGCCTGTTCACAATCTGGGGCATTTGAGTTTGGGAAGACATTACACGGGTTTGTAGAGAAATCAGGGTATAGTTGGATAGTTTCGGTGAACAATGCGCTTATTGATATGTATTCTAGGTGTGGTAATGTCCCAATGGCTAGATTAGTCTTTGAAGGTATGCAAGAGAAGAGGAGTATTGTATCTTGGACATCAATGATAGCGGGCTTAGCAATGCATGGTCACGGAGAAGAAGCTATTAGAATATTCAATGAAATGACTGAGTCTGGTGTTATGCCAGACGAGATATCTTTCATTTCGCTTTTGTATGCTTGCAGTCATGCTGGACTGATCAAAGAAGGTGAAGGTTACTTCTCTAAGATGAAGAGAGTCTACCACATCGAACCAGCAGTTGAACACTATGGTTGCATGGTTGATTTATATGGCCGATCTGGAAAACTGCAAAAGGCTTATAGTTTCATATGCCAAATGCCAATTCCGCCAACTGCCATAGTGTGGCGGACTCTTCTCGGGGCTTGCAGTAGTCATGGGAATATCGAACTGGCCGAGCAAGTGAAACAAAGGCTTAATGAGCTTGACCCAAATAACTCGGGGGATCTTGTTCTTTTGTCGAATGTTTATGCTACTGCAGGTAAATGGAAGGATGTTGCTTCTATCAGAAAGTCAATGATTGTTCAGAGAATCAAGAAGATAACTGCTTGGAGCTTGGTGGAAGTTGGCAAAACCATGTATAAGTTCACTGCATGCGAGAAAAAGAAGGAAATCGATATAGAGGCTCACGAGAAGCTAAAAGAAATCATCTTGAGGCTTAGAGATGAAGCTGGGTATGCCCCAGAAGTAGCAAGTGCTTTATATGATGTGGAAGAGGAAGAAAAGGAGGATCAGGTAAGTAAACACAGTGAGAAGCTTGCACTTGCATTTGCTCTAGCTAGATTGCCTAAAGGAGCAAATATCAGGATAGTAAAGAATCTGCGAATTTGCAGAGATTGTCACGCTGTTATGAAGCTAACTTCAAGGGTCTATGGAGTAGAAATTGTGATCCGAGACAGAAATCGCTTCCATTCATTTAAGGACGGTTCTTGCTCATGCGGTGACTACTGGTAAAACGTTGTGAATAGAACTGTTCACCAAACATATATCATTTTGTGGTCTAATGCTTCCACTAGTGACCTCATCAATGGAAGCTTCACTCCCAACACAAACTTTCAGATGTCTCTATAACTTGAGGTTTGTGGTTTACATTGCCTTGGGACTGTGGGTTATCTTGATACTTTGCATTCTTCTTGGCCTAGAACGTAATTTACAAAATTATTTACAAAATTCTTTTGGACTGTTATTGTAAATTTCTAACAGATTCTACCAAACTTTGACGAGAAATATCAGCACGTCTTCGTGGTTCTGGTTCAAAAGTCTCAAGTCTCAAGTCTCAACCTTTGAATCGTCGTTTCCTTCTTTCTCGCTTACCAGATCTTCGAAAAATCCTAACTTTTTGGATTATTTCACTTCCATGGCTGCTTCAGCTGCATTCTCCATTTCATCACCACCTTTCGTACCCTTTTCCTGCAAAACTCGCAGACCATTTCTCTTGCTTACTCCAAAATATCCCAAACTTGTTTCGGTGCGAGCTTCTGTGCCCTCGATCTCCATCGATGACAAATCGCCAGTCCAAACTAAGGTTAGTTTACTAGTATCTCGTTTTGTCTGATCGTCTCGCTCTTATTGTTCAATTAGTGGTTTGATCCTTTGACTTGGAAAAAGAATTAGACAAAATTGTAGATTTATCGAGATTTCTTTGTTAAAGAATGGTTTTTGTTTTATAAACTTACTATATTGGCTCTATATGACTATATTTTTATGTAGAAATTGATCATAGTGAGATTGGTTTTCTTACTTTTGAAACCATTAATGAATTATTTAGGCTCTTCTGGGATAATCTTTTGTTTCTGGGCTTTTATGTATTGATGTTGCTCTGTTTTAGACAAGCACTTGGCAATGGAAGTTCAAGGGTAATTCGATCGGTATATACTATGAAGAGCATGGGAGGGAGAAGTGTGAATCAGCTAAGAATATCCTAATGATACCAACAATATCCGATGTTAGCACCGTTGAGGAGTGGAGATCTGTGGCTAAAGACATTGTGCAGCGCGATGGGGAAGTCAACTGGCGAGCAACTATTGTAGATTGGCCCGGTCTTGGTTATTCTGCCAGACCGAAGATGGATTATGACACAGATGTCATGGAGAAGTTTGTGGTCGACTTCATGAACTCACCTGAGAGCCCAATGAGCCAGTCAGGTTAGTGTGAACTACTTCTTTTTCTGTTTGTGTTGGCAATGTTATGGTGACAAGAGTGAAAAGCTACACATACTCTCCATGGCTTTAGTTCCCGGTTCCTTATAGTTTGATATGAAAACTGATTCGTAGTGGTAATATCTATATTTACTTTGGTGAATAATGGTAGTTATACATGAGCCCTTGTAATGTTTAGAGTCCCTTACACTTTGCTCATTCTAAAAGTATGTCTTCTCTATGGCTCTGAATGCTTATACGCTTGAATCGGTTTTCCATTGATCCCCCTTATTTGCTTTCTCAACTAACAAAAGAGAAAAAGCGATATCTTGACATAATCCATGTAACTCCGAAACAGGTAATGATGATCTAGTGATCATGGGAGGAGGGCATGCGGCAACACTAGCAATCCGTGCTACCCAACGTGGGCTACTAAAACCATCAGCCATTGCTGCTGTCGCACCTACATGGGCTGGACCTCTCCCTATTGTCTTTGGCCGTGATTCTTCCATGGTGTCGAGGTCCGTTGACATCTTTCCATAAAAAATAAAATAAAAAAGAGAAAAGCTTTCCGCTATTGATCGCTCTGTTTTTGTCTCAACAGGTATGGTATGCTAAGAGGAACTCTAAGAGCACCTGGAGTTGGTTGGATGATGTACAACATGTTGGTGAGCAACGAGAAGTCTATCGAGTCTCAGTACAAATCCCATGTTTATGCCGACCAAACCAACGTGACCGATGCCATAATCCAAAGCAGATACGAGTTAACAAAGCAGAAGGGATCACGCTACGTCCCTGCAGCTTTTCTGACTGGTTTACTCGACCCGGTTTCATCACGGGAGGAATTTCTCCAACTGTTTGCTGATTTGGAAGGGAAATTACCGGTAATGGTTATGTCAACAAAAGGAGCTCCAAAAAGATCGAAAGCAGAAATGGAAGCATTAAGAGGAGCCAAAGGAGTAAGCAAATTCGTGGAAGTTGAAGGTGCACTCTTACCTCAAGAAGAGTATCCTTCTCTTGTTGCTCAAGAGCTCTACAACTTCTTGCAAGAGACTTTTGCTAAATGTTAGATAGACGTATACAGACAGGCCCAGGAAATGTGGGCGCAGGCCCATAGAGTGTTCATTGTTTGTTGAACTCTACATTTTTTTTTTATCGTCTGGATTTATTATTTATTATACATTATGAGAAATATTATATAGACGATTCTACAACAGACAATTTCTTCCGACTCTTATTAGATTCACGACAGACGATATTTCTTTCTTCATGCTCTTGACGGACACCTTCAATGCTCCACGACCTGACGATACTTTCTTCTCTGCGTGGAATCCTGGCGAACGGCTATAATTGTGTATCGTTGGTGATCTCCTGCACACTTGACTCCATTAATTTGCAAATTTGTTAATAAATCGTTGTATTTGCGATACGAACACCAAACCTTCTTGGTGTAGAAGCATTAATTAATGCTTGATCAACCAATGGGCCAAGAGGACTTCCACGAACTCTAGAATTAGAAGTTTTTTTTATACTATTGATTTTCTAAGTTTCAAATATTCGTATAAGCTGTTCGAATCTTTTTGAGTTTCGTCTAGCATTGTTTCAATTAAACCAATTTCGACGTAACCTAACCTCACATCAAAAGTGGTATGGGTTTAATTTAACTCAATTATATATAGTTTCTGAGTTAAAGCCGAATTATACCGACAAATATTCAAAACAGAACCAATGTTATTTATTTTATTAATCCATAATTCCTCGTTTTTAATATGTAAATTCGATTGAAAAAAACGACAATAAAAAAAAGGAAGAAGTGTCCAATCCATCTCTTTATGGCTCCGGCCTCCGGGGATGAGATGTTAACTTCAGAACACAACACTCAAATACCGGGAATAGACAGAAAGTTGGGTAAGTTCATCCCCCACGTGCCACGTAGATTCATCACATGCCATATATTTAGCCGACGGGGACTTCTTGGGCCTCATTTTATTATTTAATGGGCCAGATTCTATTTAATATATCCAAAACTTACCAGACCCTCATATATTATTAATATATCACTATCTTCTTTTTCTCCAACTCCTTATCTCAAAATTTAGTTTTTATACAAAATTTATAAAATTGGATACCAAAACTTTGCACAAAAAAAAGGATACCAAAACAAAATATCTAATCTATATAAAAGTAATAATTTATAACACTAAAGTTGTATGTTTTCTTTAACTGATAGAATAATAAAACACGCAAAAAGTTATTATTAGATAAATTTTGATAGCATTTTCTCTTAAAACATTTTGTTGGTATTTTCTTGTTAGTACTTACTACTTAGTAATATGTATTATGTAATATGCGGATTAGAATCTAGAATGTAACATAACTGGAGTTGAATCCGGAATGTGATACTTGTATAATCATGACAATACAAATTAGGGGTCCACTAAAATGAGTTTTGTAGATTTTTTATCACGCGATTGTGACTGTGATTTGTATAAATTTTTGGGCATAGTTTTATTGCTATAATTGGCCAATTTCGAATTAATGTATCCATAACTTAGCAGATACCCAAATAAACATATCTCTATACTCTATATATACTGTATATGCTTTGTATATTGGAAAGATTTAGTCACTTTCTTCAAAGTGGGGCTCATTCCTCAAGGAACTCAACTGCGAATTAGTGGTGAATCGTCTCCATTTTTATTATTATTAATATGCAAAAACTGGACTATTTTACAACGTCATACAAAACAAAAAAACAAGTTCGCCTACCTTTTTTTATTCTTTTTGTTTTGTTCTATATTGGGAGCTGAAGTAATGGTAACTGGTAAGCAAACTTTGTTTATTTTATTTTTCCATTTAGAGTCTTAGACAAACTCACATACCACATCTTTCATTACACTTTCTAATTCATATAAAAAATATGTAAATAATTATGCCAAACATTTTATATAAAGTTTGGTAGGCAGCGAGTTATGGCCAATGGGTACCAAATAGTAGTATTTTTCAGACATGTTGTTATGGGTATCAAATCATCATATCAAATCATTATTTAATTTGCATTAGATTCTTGCGTACTCTCTCTAACTGCTCATAATTTAATTTTTTTTTATCTTTTTTTTCTGCTCATACAATTTGTACACCACTAATTAAAATTTACCCAATCAAATTATCCTTTTTATCACCAAAAATATTTTATTAATCAAATTGTTTTTTTTTCTTTTGGTCAACAGTCAAAATTTTCACAAAACAGATTACATACATATCAGCACAATCATTTGACTGCAAAATCTCGGTTTAAGCTGTGTGAAATAGATAATATATATTATATATGGATATGCGTTGACTACGTCTTCTTTCGCTGGTTGCGTAAGTTCCGTACTATGCATGCATCTAATCTAGACGATGCAACTAAATTTTATTCAAATAAGTAGAAGTGTATAAAACTACGTTTCCGAACCTTGATCGATATTGGTGATTACCATAATGGTTTTTGTATGGAATCGGTAAACAATTATTGATTGCGAAAATGCATGAAATACAGAAATTCAAATATGTCTATTATTACATATTCTTTCCGTTTCACAAAGAGTGTCGTTTTGAAATTTTATTTTTGTTTCATAAAAAGTGTCTTTTTGTGTTTTCAATGCAGATTTTTAAATTAAATCTCAGTTTTATTCCTGTTTTTTAACTTATTATTTAGAGAGAAAAACGATTTTAGTGTATTAATAAAAGGTAAAAAAAAAATTAAATATTTTTTTTAATTTGCAAAGACACTCTTTGTGAAAGAGAGATAGTATCAATAAACTAAGTTGTCATGTGTGGATAAAGGTAGCAATTAATAACCAGCTTTGTTATTGCTTGTTATCACAGAAAGGTCAATTAGTCACTTATTTTATTTTCTTGCATTAGTATAAGTAAGTTTTGTACTGTTACTCACAAACATGATTTTGAAAGTGACTATGAAAAGAGTTTGCGTTACTCTAAAGTTTAAACACTATTTTCATCGATTATTGATATTGATGTCAAATGCGACGATTGTAAAAAAAATGTTGCAAACGGCATGCACTGTTTTGGCTTTCTTTGCTATAATGGACCAAATATAATTGGTCTGACTGCCGACAATCGTTTTTTCATCATTGTTGTAACTGGTTTTTAGCTTAATTAGAAAAAACTCAAAAAGTAAAAAACACTAAAAACGAATCAGTAGTGTGTACAATTAAAAATACAATTAAAAATAAAAATATTTTCAATTCTATTTTTCGTCGGTATATTTCAATGGCTATTTGTTAATTTTTAAAATAGTAGCAATCAATACAACGTGGAATATCTGCGATAATCTATCAGAACTGTGTATTACTTCCTTCGTTTTGTTTTACTTATCGTTTTAGAGTTAAAATTTTGTTTCATAATAGTTGCCGATTTAGGTTTTCGATGCAAATATTTGGTGAAAATTTCAGTTTTATCCCTACTGTTTAATGTTTCGGCTAATGAATTTTTTTATAAAATATATTAATAGAGGGTAAAACAGAAAATTTAATGTTTTTTTTAATTTGTGTGAGAAAACCTTAAACGACAACTAAAACAAAACGGAGAAACTATATATTTATATTCATGTATTTATAGCCTGAGCTTTCCTTATTTTTCTTTTCCTCGAGCTATTATGTGAATAGCCGACAATTGAGGGTGATAATGTAATTAAATAAAGTAGGGTAATTACAATTAAGGACAATAATCCATCGTTTTCATTTCATTGATCGCACTTTTAATCTAGACCTTCCACGTGTGCATAATACATCTCATGCCATGATCACACATTGACTACTCCAAATTACTAATCCGAATCTGCTGCTAAGAAGTTTCAATATGACTAATTGGTGTTTAAGCCTTGTTTAAAAAATCGCTAGGCGTTAGTTGGACATTCGGTATGAGCCTAGCGATCAATCGGAAAATCGGATTAAAATCGGGGATTAATCGAGGATTAGTTTTAGATTTATTTTAATATTTTAAAAACATAATAATCCAATATTATTTTCAAAATTGTAGTAAACACATAAAATTGTGTTTTTGAGATAAATTTTTATGATTTTTATTAAAATTTGATATAAGTTATTGTAAAACATCACAAACTCCTAATTTAAATGATCGAATAACAAAAATAAAAAGTTTTTTTATACTTGCAATCTAAAAATAATCGGGATATGTAAAATTAGGCGGCGAGTAATCATATTAGGCGGGATGTAATCGGATTAGACGGAGAATAATCGGGTCACTGATTTCTTTAAGGGATTAGTCATTAATCGAGGCGAATAGAGTGGACCTAGCGATTAAGCGGAGATTAATCGGGTTAGGCGGGAATTTTTAAAACAAGGGTCTTAAGTCTTCACTAATGATATTTTGGCTGGAACGCGACAAAAAGAAAATGATATTTTGGCTCCGACTGGTAGCACGTATAGTAGGGAAAGAACATTTTTTAATGTGATTATATAAAAAGTTTTTGCTTATTATTTATCAAAACACAAAAATGCACAATTTACGTTTTTACCTAATAATACAATTAAGAAAATTATTATTATGCAAATAAGTAAGTATATATTCTTTTTGTTTCAAAATATAGGATGTTCTAACTAAAAATACACAAATTCAGAAGTATTTGATTTTTAAAAAAATCAATTAATCATAAAGACTTCAGAAAATTTGTTTTTTAATATAATGTTAAATTAGATTCAAACAAAAAAAAATTTTGGTATATCAGAAAGTTATAAAGTGTTAAATTAATATATAATTTTATAGAAATTTTAAAACATTTAATAATAATATAAAACGGATAGAGTAATTACTTATTTCATTATGCATTATTTATTTTAGAAAATTATGAATTTTTTTATAGTATGACTTATATCATTATACGGTTATGAGATGTTAGTGATATAAGACCATATTTATCGGGGTAACTATAGCTCTGTTCTAAGAGTTTTTAAATATTAAAACTGATGAAAAGTTGGGTCTGGGCTAGGAACACGTTTTCCTGCGAGAACAGTTCGGAGCCATGTTCGTGTGTACGTGGCAGGCTATCATTGATTAGGAGATGTGGAAATGGAAAAAGTCTAGGCTTTTCTTTCTTTTCTTCTCTTTCTTCTTACATTATTAATATTTTTTCTCCCTTAAAATCAATCTTCAAAGATGCACCTTGCATATGCCATC